TTTCATCCCTGTTGCCCTGCCAGCAAAAAGCCAGCGCCGACCGCTTCCTGGAATCCCTCCTCAACAAGTCCAGCAAGCTCCGACAGCTGCTCAAGGACCTCCGTTCCAATTATGGAACGGATGCTGCATCGTTCATTCCTCAGATTGGCAATCACGTCGTATGCCATGACTGACCCAAGCAGATGTTGCAACCGACCCCAAAACGTGTCATTTATTCAGGTCGATCAAGACCCTCGAGGATCACATCACCAAGTTGGACGCAGAATATGTGAAGATCAACGAGGCCAAGGCTAACGGGGAGGTGGCCGGCCACACCGCGAGGCCAGCTCAGCTTCTTCAATTGCTTTCGTGACTCTCGTGGGGTTTGATACCGTACATTGCCGGGTTTCCCTTTTCCCTCAATCTGCTTCAATTACGATAATACGGTATCCTCCCGAACCTTAGGCTATGCATCTTGATTCCGAATGACCACACTGACTCGGCCTTCATGCACTGAAACCGCTTCCCTCCCTGCGTGTCCCCTCGCACTGCTGCAGTTGGTGGACGACTCTGGAGAAGAAGATCAAAGATGCCACAATGACGCCGGATCCTTATCCATGTGTCCCTACAACACTCTTTGACCTCTACACTTCCCTGTTCAGGGCCAGCCGTGCCACAGCCTCCGAGTTGCAAGTGAGGCACCTCAGCAGAGCAGGACAGTGGTTCGGATGTTGGTGTTCCTGGCCACTTTCATACCGTCTGCAGATCACACTTCATAGTTACCGGCACTGAGGAATGCTAAGAAGTTCTTTGCCAAGAGCGAGATTGCACCCGCTGGAGCTGGTGCACCACCTTCGGGTGGGAGACAGAGAGCCCCTAAGGCCAAGGCGAAAGCCAAGACGGCGCCCAAATCGAAGTAGGCGGCTGCCTCGCATGACTTGCATCCCCTTATAAACCATATAGGAACCCTATGGCCCTAAACCTATACAAACCCTGGTAGTCCTATGGTTCGTATACACGTTATCCCTCCCACACTGTCTATAAATCCTAGCCCTGAGAATCTTCGCAGACTCACGTATGGAGAGATTGTGCACTTGTACTTCAGGAGCCAGGTCTGCCGTGCAAGTCATGTCAGAAGCTGCAAGCACAGCCTCCCCAGCTTGATGTGATTTTGGATGCCAGCTCTCGTGGTCCTTGCCGCGAGCACATGTGTGAAGGGTGACAGCAGGTGGCCGTTCAGTTCTCAAAGTGCTGTTGTTTCGAGACCATACAACTGCAAGTGTCGTACAAACTTAGGGTTTCTGTGGTCATGGTCTGCTGCCTCGAAGACTCGCCCCGAGTCCTCTTGTGGTAACCCCGGGATATGGTGCGGTCCTGGGGGGGAAGTACAGGACTTCGCCTCCATGAAACCTGGGGCCAGGATTAGCTGAGATGCGCGATCTCCGGTGCCAGAAACACAACTTCGCAAGTGTTTGCATGTGCACATGTGGGTGTAGCAGTGCCTATGCAGGCCCCCTCATCCCGAAATATTTTAAGCCCAACGTCGTCTCTCACACGCCAGAACCCGGACCGGTGGCGAAGAACTGCTTTCGCTTGATCGGAGATGGCGCCGGGAGCTCATCAGATGCCAGCCGCTTCCGAACCTTCAGGACATGTACTGCGAAATCAAACTAGTCTGAAAGTTGAGGGTCATGTTCGGCTGCGAAGTGAAAGTCTGGCTTGGCTCAAAACAGGTGGTTGTTTAGGAGTTTAAGGTGTTTCGGAGTGACATACAAATGTCATGGAGACTCCGGAGCTCGAGCTATGGGATCTTCTGACCTGTCATCGCTCTGTGTTCCGGTCGCAAGCTAGTCTGTAGCAAGCAAGAACAAGGTCATGTCATGTGTAGTTGGCAACCCCCGAACCATGATTGCACTTAGGCCGATGATGCTCCCTATCCATGGCCACACCCATCATGCGTGGACGTGGCTAGCTGCCGCACAAAGCCCCCTGCAAGCTTGGCTACTGCAGAGGTCGTGCCTTCAAAGCCAATGCTAGCGGCAGCTTCGAAGCCAGCCTGGAAACCGCATGTTTCGGATTCTGTTTTGGCCGACAGCAAGATAATGTCTATGCTTCGAGAAGTGGATGAGCATTCTGATATAGAATGGTGTTTGGCTGCCCGGGCTACTACTGCAGGGGGTGTTCTCAGCCACGCAATTCATATTGTGAATCGGCTGTCCCATCGTTATGCTCCTATGATATTCAAAATAGGTTTCACACACAATGCTTCCTGGCGCTGGGAAAATACCATTTACGGTTACAGATGGGATCGGGACAAGTGGGAGAAGATGTGCTTATTACACATCGCCGAAGAACCTTTCAGCCCGGCAATGCTCGAAGCCGCCCTCATCAATAAGTTCCAAAGAGCCTAAGCCGGTGATTTTAGTCAATAGCTTTTGGACCTTTTGTATCTATTTATACAGGCCCTTGAATCATAATTACATACTCAGACAGGCGCCCCTAGATTCCTTCGGATAACATCCCTGAGGCACGCCTGGCTGCCGAAACACTCGATCCGGCGGAGATAATGTGAGGACGGATGGGGCCGCCTCGGTGAGCGTGTACATGACATACATTGTGTACAGGTCTTTCAAATACAAGCCTGTTTGATGGTTGTTCGCTTGGGCAAGGATTGCTCTGCAAGGGTGTGTGTCACTTCCAGACACAGCTCGCGGATGGGAAACAACTTTGAACACTGAATGTTCATGTGCAAGCGAGTGACCATTAAATGCCTGGACAGGTAGACAGACAAATAGTCTGCATCATGAGCATTGCCATTGCCCTGCAACTGAAGTTGTGTGCTTTCTCATGTAACGACACAAACATAAACCTCTTCCGTTTTGCCGAGGCCGCATGCAGCTCGGCAGTGCTGTCTGCCCGGGCTGTGGTGGAAGAAATGCCAGCTGCAGCGACTTCTTCAGTGCGAAGGGTTGCCAAGTGCTCTCTTGGGGATGCCGAGAGGGACATGCATAGATTGGGGAAAAAGTTTCGGTTGAGACTTGGGGTGCCCCTGAGCCGTGTTTCGCTACTGAACAATGTGCAGATCGCCCTACTGTTCATGTCATCCTGGATCAAGTATTTTCTTGAGAAGAACCTTTGGTATTTCCTATGTGGTTTACAAGAGCCGGACGAGCAACGATGTGAGCGACAACTGGGGCTATTCTGGGAACGTTTTCGTGGGATTTCACCGAATCATCCAGTATTTCAACGATCGACGGCTGACCTTTGCAGGACTTGTCCCGTCCTCGTGCACGGGGACGAGGGACGGAGTGCCAAGAAAACGGCAATCATGATATTGTCTTTTCATGCTGTTCTTGGCCGTGGAAGCCAGCCATCGACAACTCCGGGGCCTTCTTGTGAGGAGTCCACGACACAGGAACTGAATTTTCTTGGCCACACCTTCGCCACACGATATTTGCTATCCGTATTGCCACGGGCCATGTACGACGATGAGGTTGCAGGTAACTTCCAGCGACTTTTGGGCCATCTTGTTCCGGATATGCGAAGGCTTTTCGAGGAAGGGTTGGTATCCCCTATCTACGACAAGAAGTTTTATGTATGCGTCGTCAACATTGTCGGGGATTGGCCATTCTTGGCCAAGGCATTCAACTACAATCGGACATTTGGAAATTCCGCGAAGCGCGAGACGTCCAAACAAGTGCCAAAGGGGATCTGTCATGCATGTTTGGCCGACAGGCCAGGCTTCCCTTTCGAGGATTTCGAATCCGAGGTGCCGCGGTGGAAGCAAACTGTCAACTCTATCCCTGCCTATACTACGACGCCGGTTCTGATGACGTTGGCACATGACACGGACGACCCATCCGGCTTCGCAGGCCAAGATTACTTCCACGGCTTTCATCTCGGCGCCGGCAAAATCTTTATGGCTTCCGCTCTGGCTCTTTTGAACTACAGTTTCGATGGTCAGAGCTTCCAGGTTCGCTTCAAAAAGATGGAAGAAAAGTTCTTCGACTGGTGCAGCCACCATCGCCAGCATCCTTACATCCGCAAGTTGAACCAGGACACGCTGGGTTGGCCTCATGCAACGGAGCCAGCAATGGGAGGGTGGAGCAAAGGCTCCACCACACTATGTTTGCTGCGTTGGTTCGTTTGCTACTGCCACGAGATGCGAGACACAATCGCCCAGGATTCCTTGCTGTTTATGTCTTGGCAAGCAGCATGGCAAATCAACAAATTCTTTTCGCTGCTGTACCGCGAGAAACTGTGGATCATCGCTTCGAAAGCAAAGGAGATAGCTGCATATGGGCGGGCTTTTCTCAGGCTCAACGGCCGCTGTGCAAAGCGCGCTTACGACGAAAACCGGCCGTTGTTCATGTTTATGCCTAACTTGCATCGACTACAGCACCTTATGATCAGGATGGAAGATCAGGCTCGGGTTTCGACCTGGGTGCAGAACGGCTTGATGTGGAGCTGTCAAGTCGAGGAGGACTTCATCGGCCGACCCTCGCGATTAAGCAGGCGAGTTCATCCTCGGCGAGTTATCGATCGCACACTGCTTCGGTCTCTCACGGCAGCTCATAGGCAGTTTCGATCGGCCGGGCTTCTCCGCGACATGTGACTGTACTTGAAAATCTACCTCGCATCATAAGCATCAGGATATAATTCGGCTCACCTCATAAGCACTTCTTTCTCTGGGTCTTCCCACATGTCGTGGACAGCACATGCCTTCTCAGTGCGCGGCCAGTCACCGCTGAGCACAGCAGCCAGGCTTTGTCGAGCCCAAAACAATCGTGGAGCGAGCTTCTCTTTAAGTGCAATGCAAGGAAGCACAACTTCGATTGCCGAATCATGCCAGTGATGTTCAACACAACAACACCCAAACAATTCCCGAAAAACACAGAACCGCGTTCTTTACCTTAAAACCTGGTTTTCCCAAGCAACCTACCTTTTATAAGGGTTTGGAGGGTGTAGGTAGAACATGCTGTTCTGTCAAGTGTACTAGCGGACGAGCGGTACTGGCCAAGGAATGTGATGAGATCTGACCACAGAACGGACTGCCACAACGTTGTGGAAGGATCTTATCTGGACTTCCGTCCGCGTAGGGAGCCGATCCCGCACGTAATCGTCAGCGCCAGCGGCTGGGGAGGGCATTGGACGAAGATGCCGGCAGAGACCCTGGCCCTGACAACTTTTGCTGACGTCTCACTGCCGGGTTTCACCATCTTCCAGTTCCTGAAGCTGCGGCAGAAGAAGGCGCAGCCGTGTGAGCGCCCGAGTCGTGGCTTGGTCGAGGAGTATTATCGCGCATATGCTGAGCACTACAACCTCTCTGCATACCTTCAACCTGGCCGCGTCAAGGAGGTGGAGCTCGGGGATGACGGCAGATACCTCGTTTCTGCGAAGCTGAAAACCGGCGGCAGTCTTCGATTCTCCAGCTCTGCAGTTGTTCTTGCCAACGGTCGTTTCGGATCCCCTCGCTTGCTACCGACTCTCCCTGCAGAACATGGCTCCGACAATGGGCCCCTGCTTGTGATCGGAGGTGGGCTCAGTGCAGCTGATGCTGTGCTCGCAGGCCTCCGCTCTGGGAGGCAGGTGCATCACATTTTCCACAGAGGACAAATCATCCGAAACTATGGCGACAGGGCTGAGCAATACCCTGAATATCATGCTTTGCGAGAATTAATGTCCGGAAGCAACGACAAGAAGGCATTGGAAGCCGCGGTGGGCTCTGCCGTGAGCTCTCAGATCAGCTATACACCTTACATGCAAGCCAGCCTCGTGGATTTCCAGCATAATCCAGAGCCGAGCAACTTCACATGCCAGATCGAGTTTGAGAACAATTTCCGGCGTGTGGTGGAGGTGTCACAGCTGAAGGTCCTGATTGGATGGTTGCCAGATTTGCAGTTTATGAAGTCTCCATCCGTCAGTGTCGAGCTGCAGTGCCAGGCCACTTGTCACTACATGCTGCCCGTGGACAGCAGAAATGGGTTTAGAATCAGCGAGAACTTGCATGGGATCGGCTCTTTGGCAGGCACCAGCTTTGTGCGGGATTTGGTCAGCCATGCCTTCAGCGTTCTTTCCTCGTTGCATGGCAACGGCCTGCTCTCCGTTGGTCCTCGGCTTCGACTGAGCAGCGACCAGGCCCAGGTGGATGGGATTCGAAGGTTTGCAGCCGTCACTTGGGCTGCAAGGCTGGTGGCGAACCAGGCCACACGCAAAGCTGCACCCCCCTGTCCACCTACAGAAGCCCACATCCTCAGCCTTCACATGGCCGCATTCTTGGTCTGGTCCTTTGAGTCAAAGGTGCTGCACCCGGTGATATCAACAGGGCCGCCTGGCGGCTCGACGGTGCTTTTGCTGGGCCCCTGTGAAGTCGCTGAGGTCTTGTCCCGAATGTACCACGTCAATGTGACCACAGTGAACGAAGAGCCACCGCCCTCTTCGGAGACATACGGTGCTGTGACGCAGGCCCTTCAAAGCTTTCCTGGCGAGGTTTTTGATGGCGCCTTGGTCTACTGGCCGGCTTGGGTTTCCGGGCCGGCCGACCCAGAGACCAACTCGCAGCCTGGTTTCAGCCAGCTTTGCCATGCCCTGGAAACCACAACCAGGCGGCCTCATCCCGTGCATCATCTCGGATGCCTCTTAGGGAAAGATGCCATTGAGGATGTGACCGCCCCATGAACATCTGTAAGCCCGGAACCCTTAGCCTGAATAGCAATTGTAATATGGCCCCTCGCAGCAGGCACTTTATATGGATTGGTGGCCTTTCTGCAAGAGCTGCTTCCGAAATAAGCCGCCGTGTCCTTACAAGCTCCAGAGTTTCGCGAGCTTGCAAGCTGAGTCCATCGCGACATCATGAGTTCCTTTTCAAAGCAACTTCGCGCACGAAGCTTCTTGAAACTGCGAGGCTGTGCCGACATGTTGATGATGCAGCACAGGACAGAGTCGACTCGCTCACGCTGCTTTTTGTTTGGCTCTTATTCCTTGAGAACATCGTGGGCTGACACGCGTTGATGAGATTTCCCAGGTGTGGCTCACACTACCACACTATATGCCCTGCGGTGGTGCCCGGATGCTGTTGGTAGACTATCCGTCCAGTTGAACCCATGTGCATAATCAGCTGCCGAATTCTTTGGAACACCTGGAGCCATGAGCTGAAGCACATATAATACATTACACACTTCGAAAGCCGTCACCCTCGCAGGATTGCCAAGAATTCCGAGCTTCTCGAGGGTGGCAGACCCAGACTTTCGAGTGTTGGCCACCTTAAGCTTGAAGATTGGGGGCCCTTATATGAAGAGTTTCCAGAAATTAGGGATACCATGTTTTGGGGCCCTTATAATCCGAATCCTTCTTTTTAGGATACTATATTAGCGTCCCCTCTTTCCGGAAACTCCCATCATGATCGAAGGCCTGGGCTTCTAGGGCTTGCTTGAGGGTTTTAGACCTCTAAGACCAGTTTAGGGTTTAGGGTTGCTAAGCTTGCGGCTTTGGGATTATGGTTCGGGGGCATTGCGGAGGTTTTGGATGGTTTCGGGTTTGCCCGGCCCGAACCCTAAGAAAGCTACAGGGTTTGACAGTTTCAGGTCCCTGACTGTGACTTTCTTGCGCACTTCCTTAATTCAAACTGTGTACTGCGGGGTTGTCTGTACTCTGCGTCGTTTTTGCCGGAAGCATGTGGGCACTGCTTGTCATTGCAGCCACTTGAAGAGGAGCTGGCGTGTTCAGCCCGGGTCTAAGGTTTCAGGATTTAGTCGGGCCTAATCAGGGTGTCATTGCCTTTTGTTTGGTGTGGGTTAGGATTTGGGGTTAAGCTTTCGGGGGTGCGGCTCTCCTGGTTCATGGTTGTGCGAATTTCGTTCGGCAAGTTGCGCAGTCTGCCCGCAGAACTCTTTTGTGGTAAAGGCGACCATGGTCACATGATGTAGACCCCGGATGAATAACAAGCTCGTGGTCTACAAGAGGCTTAGTTACAATTCAGAACTGCAAAGGTCAGCTTGCCTCTGGGATTTAGCAAGGTGCATCTTATAAGGTCTATAAGGGTCCGTTCGGCTTCAGACTCGGCTAAATTCGCGGCTGAAACGAAGCCCACGAAGCCTCAAGCCGTCGAAGGAGTTCCTGGTTCCTTTACACCCTGATGCCTTGATGCCCTAAACCTTAAACCCTTTTCACTTCGTCAGACTCCGAACCATATGCCTCGCCTGGATTTTCCGAGTGTGAGCGCCGAAAACCTGAAGCCCCTGCACATTCCCCCCCCCCCCCCCAAGATGTGACCTGACAGGTGAAGAGGCGGCCACTCGGAATGCCGCCTCAGATGCCTCTGTTTTCTTTTACCGCCGGAGCACCGACGGGCTGGAAGGTTCGGCCCTGACGCAGTAACTGGTAAGAGCCAACCCTTGCAGTCCCTCTGTTAACGCTTTTCAGCTATCACGTACCCCAAAAGCAAGCAGCCTGGGATAGCAACTTGATGTTTAGAGTCCAAAAACAAGAAGAGCATTTTACCGGCACAATACCAACATAATACCTCCAATACCGAAGCTGTCGCCCAGAGGCTCTGGTGTACTCGCATGCACATATCGGGTGCACTTCTCTTTGTTTGGTTGCCTGTTGAGCACGGACGACTCTAAAGCCTCGGGGTGACCAGTGCATCAAGATGTTGCACTGTTTGACTCCTGGCAGCTGCCTTGGTGACCGCGAAGCATACGGTGCCCAGACTGGCTCTGCCCATCGCACAGCTGGACTCTCTCTGGTGTCCACGAATGTGTTTCTTATACTACGTAGACGGAGATGGTATGAACGTCACCGGCCACATGCCGGCGAACATTCTCGTTAGGCTGCCGCTCTGATCCCACGACCAGATGCTCTCGGATGCGCGACCAGAAGCTGCTTGAAGCTGTGAGGATGTTCTGGCTTAAAATATAGGCTCGTGTATCTCCAACAAGAAGCACAGTTTTGCCTTGAGTACCTGATCCGCTTTAACAGTTGCGAAAGCTAAATGTTGAAGGCATCCGTGGCTCAGATTCGTTCATTCGGAGTTGCTAGGGTCGGCACGTCGGACCCGTCGTGTTCCTTTGTTGGGCCTTCTCTGCATTGGGTTCCGCCGTGTTCTTCGTATACAACTGACGTACTTTCAGGGCGATTCGAAAGGAAATCTGCATGATATGTCAGAAAGACCTGTACTCCAGAGGCTGGCAGCAGGAGAGGTTGCACAAAACTGATGCGTTGTGATACGTATTTTTGAGAGGTGAAGGGACTTGTGTTGGGGAATTCGGAATCTGATACGGGGTGGAAGGCCATGCTCCGGCGAGAGGAAAGTCGATCTGTCTGTGACAACCCCACGTCCTCGGACATCCCGTTGCAGACGTTTGAAATCTGAAGCCTCGCATAGGCCCCTAAATCCCAAACCTACAGCCCGACGCGGATTATCCTCCACATCACACTGCAGCCGCGTCTTTTCTGTTGGGTTGGCTTCCTCCCGGCGCTCGGGCGCTCAGGACCAGGCTGCATCTGGGGGGTGTTGTGTTGAAGCGGGTGCGCTGGTTTGTCTTCAGTAGTCTCCTATAACTTCGGCAGAAGTTCATACCGTGGGTAAAAGAGTGGACACATGTTTAATGTTAGGCTGCAGCGACGTGCTTATGCTTGGTTCGTCTCTGCTCTGCTATGCCATGGTAGCCTAGGCTATGTCGAGTGATGGCATATCTCGCGAGCCTGCTACAGATCATGTGACATAGGGTATGTCATGTTATGCTAGGCCATATTGATGGTATGTTGTGGTTTGCTGTTTTATATGGTGTTGTGTTGTTTCTGTGGAGATATGTGACGTCGTGCCATGCTATGTATGATGTAAGGTGCTATGCTGTGTTAAGATATGCTGTGCTATGCCATGCGACGATGTGTAATGTTGTGTTACGTTACACCGTGCCTTTGAACTTGCATGCAAGGATGCATTCATGGGTGCATGGATGGGCAGATGGATTTATGGCTGTGTATTTGTTTGTCTGTTTGCGTGTGTGTGCGAGTTAAGTCGACAGGTGTCGGTGTTGTCAATGCATGTCGGCGCATGTCGGTGTATGTCGATGCATGACAGCGTGTGTCAGTTGATGTGGGCTTGCATGCACCCATGCTTCCTTGCTTGCCTGCCTGCATGGATGGATTGATGGACGGACGGACGTACGGGTGGATGGAATCATGGATGGAAGTTTCAAGTTTAGAGGGCTCAGGGCTTAGGGATACCCGACACACCGCAAAAAAAAACAAAGGGTTCATCTTGGTGTTGGCCCAGGGGACTAAGTCCCGAAACCCTCCATTCAGCGTGAGAGTCGAAGCCCTCGGTCTAAACACCTGCAAAGTCACCCCCCTACTTCGAGGATCAGGAGGACATAGTGACCATGTTTTTATGGGTTTAGGCGCACGCTTCTAAGTCAATGTCAAAAGCCTAGCACGAACAACAAAATTTGCCAGAACCCCGGATCCTCAACATAAACTCATCAAGCTCACAAAACAAGCATCCAAGCCCCAACTCTCAAACCCGAAGGCCCAAGCCCCCAAGCCTTGTGGCCGCAGGGAGCGGGACCATGGCTTTTGCGGCACAGCGGCGGAAGCCGGGGGAGTACGGGGACATGACGGGCATCACGCAGGAGAGGGTTTTGGGCGGGTTTTCTGTTTTGGTGTTTTTTTGGGGGGGGAGTTTGAGGGATCAACGGATCGCTGGCAGGGCAGCAATAAACGCCGATACAAGAAGGGCCTCGGGTGGGTTTAGGGCCTCGTTTAGATTATATAAGATTAAGAAAGGACAGCACCGGGCAGGGCATGAAGGGCGAACTTGTAATGGGGCGGGCAGATAGGGTGTTTGGGGGAAAGAGCTTGTGAGAAGGCTTGAAGTGTGAGGTTGAAAGAGTGCTTCCCTACGCGTGCCCATGTGTAAGCTGCATTTGGTAAGATTGCTCCCTTGTAGTCCCTACATAGTTATTTCAAATCGTTATAGTCAGTATATAGTACAACCCAAACCCGCCAAACCCTGTCACTCCATGCCTTAAGAGCCAGAGCTTTTTTCACCTACGTCAGGATGAGGTCTCGAAGCTGCAGAAGGCGGCGGACGTTTTTCGGGGTAGGATGCAGGGTTTGACTTTTTTCAATGCAGCCTCGTCACGCCATCACCCTGCAAGCCCTAAAACTGCAAAAGGGCTGCTTAGAGCACTGGGTTTCGTCTGAGGTGGACTTGGACGGGTTAACCAAGACGATGATACTGGGTTGATGTTATGGTTTAGACAGGTATAGTCCGCAGCTGAAAGAGCGAACAGAAGGCAAATGAGACATAGAAGCTACAAGTGCGGAATAAATGCCAACATTTGTCTGCAGGGTTCCTCAGTATGTTAAGACGAAACCATACCCCAAGACCCTATTCTATTGACTAAAGCCCCTACATGACCAAGGGGCTATACGGGGTGTCCAACAGTCTGCATTCACAGCCACCTCCACTCAACGCATCGTACTCGGCCCTGGGCTACTCGGAGGATCATGTGACTTAGTACGTAAGGTCACAACATGTTATGAGTAAATTGGGGTTATAGGTGATTATGAGATAATGAACTATACTCTAAGCTTGTTTTGCTTGTCATAGCCCGTTCAGTGGCTTGGGAAGTCACCCATGGCACATGGACCAAAGTTGCAGCACATTTGCTGTGAGACACGACTTCAGAGTGTTGGCAGCAGCAGCAGCAGCAGCAGGCCATGAAGCAGAAAGAGTTCCGGGACCACATCGAAGAGCCAGGGCCCTATGGTATGTTACCCTTATAGATCCTTTACAGTAGCCCTGATAGACCCCTCTAAAGGAACCCTATTCTGATTATTAAGGCTGAATGGCCCCAAACTTCGCATTTGAGAAGTGGAGGTCCTCTTCAGTTACCGGCTTGATGCACTTAGCTTTACGTGGGCTCGAGGATACGACAGCGTCAAGACCTGCTGCCTTGCTTGCGAGGTTTATGGTTAGTCGCTAGTTAGTAACTATTATACCAGCATGCTTACAAGTACCGTAGTTGGGTCCCGGTAACCATAGCTACGATGTCCTGTGCTTTGAGATCTAGCCCTGCCTGTTATGAATCCGGTGCCCTTCAAGACTTGACCCCCCCAGGAAAACGGCCTTTCACATACACGTTTGGCAACATCGTGCTAGCTTGCCAATGTGCAGCTTCCTCAAAACCGTGCTTTGGACTCAACCGTATCGCAACAAAGTTGGCCGATGGGACTTTGTCCGACATGGCCATGATAAGCCTACGTAGCGAGACGGTTTCTGACCTGGAGGCAACCGTTCTCCAGTACCCGGCCGAGGTATACCCGTGAGGTCTCCGATCCGGCACATCGACAAGAGTACTTGGATTACCTCGCGCAGATCGAGGCAGAAGACTGACATTGAAACGACGACGACCATGATTCGGGCTGCTACTCCGACAACGACACTACTGACACTACTTCTGACTTTTACGGTTGCTGCCACTGCTATCGCTGCTGCAACAATTATTTCTACTACTACTACGACGACGACGAGGTACGACCACGGCTACCACACTGCCACTGCTGCTGCTACTACTACTGTACCACCACAAACACCACCATGACGGCTACGACGAAGACTGCTTTTACTGCTGCGGGTCTCAACTGCTGCTGCTCGTACTGCTACTGCTTCCGGGATTGCTACTGCTTGTTTTACCACCCTAAGTCTGTATGTTGGTGTATAACCGCACAGATACACAGACTCCAGGATAGTTGCAGGTGGATAACGAAGCAGATTCGAATGCATAGTGAAATAGCTTTCCGCAGTAAAGGAAGGACAGAGACCGCATGTTGGCTTCATGTACATACATATAGGTGTATATATCTATATATGTGCCTGTATTTACTGTTAAAAGGACATGCATACACTTATATACCTAGACGTGCATATGTACATATATGTATACGCACACATATATCGAGACATACAGGGAGAGCGAGAGACAGAGAGAGAGAGAGAGTTATTATATTCTAAAGTCATGGAACACTGCGGAGGCCAAGGGCGAGATGCCCGAAGGCCAGCAGCTCCTCCGTTGTCAGCCGGGGCTTTGTGCCGGGCACCTGGAGTTTAGGATTTAGAGATTGGCTTCAATCTGGTTCTGCAGAGTCAAGCGTAATTATCCCTCGGAGAGTACACTGGGAGTCTGTGCATGAATGTCTACACATGTTTAACATGTATGTGTATATATATATATATATACACGCACACCCAATATCCCGCCTTCGCGCAACCATATACACATGGATGTATGCACGTGCGTACGTACGTATGAATGCATGTATGTATGTATGTTATATGCATGTATGTGCACATGAGCACGTGCGTATGT